AGTCTCGGCAATACACAATTTAGAATTGACAATACCAAACTTAGCATTGGAGAACTAAAAGTAAGTCTTCGCAATATTAAATTAACTACTAGGATTCTGAGGATAAGTCTTGGCAATACTCAATTTAGAATTGGCAATACTAAATCAAGCACTGGGAACCCAAGAGTGCGTCTTGGCAATATTCCATTTAGAATTTGCAAACAACAAGAAATAAGCAATGGTGGGAATCTGGCAATACTAAACCTAGAGTTGTCAATATACACAAATTCAGTACCGGGAGTCTGAAAGTAAGGCTTGGCATCTTGCAATGTGGAATTACCAATACTAAAATTAGCATTCGGATCTGAGTATAAGTCTTGGCAGTGCTCAGTTTAGATTTGGCATTAGTATTGCCTTTCAGAATCTCAGTACTTAATCTAGTACTATCTTAATCGAGAATTGCCAAGCCTTACACTGCACTCAGATTCCCAGCGCTTATTCTAGTATTAGTATTGCCAGATCTAAATTTGGCATTGCCAAGACTTACTCTTGCATTCAAAGGACTTGATTTAGCGGTGCCAATTTTAAATTGAGCGGTGCCAACTAAATTGAATATTGCTAAAGCTTACTCTCAGAATCCCAGTAGTTAATTTAGTATTGCTAAGACTTACTTTTAGTTTCCCAGTGCTCAACTTAGTATTGCCAATTCCAAATTGTGTATTGCCGAGCCTTACATTCAGAATCCCGGTAGTAAATTCAGTATTGCGAAGACTTACTTTTTAGTTTCCCAGTGCTAAGCTTAGTATTGCCAACTCTAAATTTACTATTGCCGAGACTTACTCTCAGAATCCCATAATCGAGAACTGCCAAGCCTACACTGCACTCAGATTCCCAATGCTTGATCTAGTATGGCAAATCTAAAGTTGGTATTGCCAAGACTTACTTTTGCAATCGAAGTACTTCATTTTGCAGTTCCAATTTTAAATTGAGCAGTGCCAAGACTTACACTCAGATTTCCAGTGCTTGATTTAGTATTGCCAATTCTGCATTTAGTATTGCCAATTGCAATTTGAACATTGCCAACCCTTACTTTTAGATTCCCCGTACTGCATTTAGTATTTACTGAAAGTTCTAGATTTGGTATTGCCAAGATTTCCTCTCAGATTCCCAGTGCTTAATTCCACTGGTGGACGAGGTATCAGTTCGAAGTGGCAGAACCAGGCCGAATGTAACCCATGAGCCCATGGCTATTTTGGGTCTCAAATGTGGCCCGTAAGCCATTGTTTGGTTTATAAAGCCAAACAAATCCTTGAGAAAACAAAAAAATGAGGAAACCACAAAAAGCAAAAAGCAACCTCGAAGCCCCCCCCCAAAAAAAAAAAAAGCTCGAGAAGACCAAACCCAACAAAGCCAAACAAATCCATGTTTCCAGAACTCTTTCAACATGAGTTGTGCTCCAAAGAGTTTCTAAACCATGTTGTTTTTGTGTGTTTGTGTTCTCGAGGTTTTGCTGTTTTTGGTGTTCCTCGAGTTGTTTCCTTTGTTCACGTTAGATCAAGTGCAACTGACATGGCTGATCCATGAGAAGACTGTAAGCCTCAAAACGAGCAAAAAGCGCACTACCAGGGTCCCCTGTTCAGTTTGTTTGAGGGTTACCCTTGCCACCTTGGTTTGAAAGGGCAACCGAAGGTTGAAAGAAAACTACCATGCTGGGGTCCAATCCTAATTTGACGCATGCCCCTCAAAATAGTGAATGCATTTTGTTTGATTTTACAGTGTGTCTTTTTTTAGGGTGCCCCTTTTGGGGTAATGTTTTTTTTTTCAAGAAACGGAAAGCCATTTTGCGACCCGGTCCTGATCCTATTTTTGGACAACCCCCATATGTTGGCGTTTAAACAAATTCCCCCCCTCCCCCCACATGGATATGTGTCAAAATAGCACCAGTCCCCAAAACAGGGGTGAGTTTTCTTTCATTTCCCTACCCCAAAAAGGGTACAGTTTCCTTCAACCTCCAAAAAGGGTACAAACCCCTCGCCTCAAAACAGCCACCAGGGCTGCCGGCGCTGGTGGACCTCTCTGCCCCTTGGGCGCTGGACCTCCTTTGCCAAGCTGCGAACGCCTCCCACTGCGCGGTGCGACACCTGCGCGGCCTGGAGCGCCTGCTAGGCGCGGCGCAAGCGATGGGAGAAAGAGGGGCCGGGTGGAGTGGGGGGGGTGGCGAAGTGTGTAAAAAGATCAAAGGTTTGGTTTGAACCAGAGATTGCGTGCGCGATTCGAACATCTTTATTATTATTATTATTATTATTATTATTTTCCAAAGGGAAGCCAAGAGGGGATGGGTATTTTCCCCATGTTTTTCAGACACCCAACTTAGAAACTAGTTGTTCTAGAGCCCGTCTATCGGGTTCTGATCAGATTCAATCTTGCACAGGGCAATCATGCGTGCAGCATCATCCAAGAGGAACCCATTTGTTAGACCCCATGTAGAGATGACCCATTTAGGTCTGAACCGGCACCCGAGTTTGAAACAACAGTCGCAGCGGCCTCCGAAGAGTTTCACTTTGCAAAACGATCGGCCGCAATACAGTACTGAATACCCAAGGTTGCTTTTGTTGGACAGTACACTTGTATGCAAGTAGATGGCGTAATTGATTTCCCTTGGGCTTAGTCATCCTCTTTACTTAACCTAGATGGAGTATGCCATGAACCGTTCCACCCTGATATCTTTAACCGAGGTTGTGTGTCCCGAGCTATGGACCCTTCCAGAGGCTTGGCTTCGTGTTCTCCCGCCATTGGGGGGCCATAGGTATTGAAGCTTCGGCAATTGTTCTAGGGGCTGTTTGTTCAAGGGTGTACTCGGATGCAGCAACTTAGCAGGTTATAAGCATGGTTGTAATTGGGGTCACAACATGGTTATAACTGCCTGGTCATAACAGATATACTAAGTCGGTTGAACATTCATGGCAGATATTTTGGAAGAGCCTAAGACCGAAACAAAGGGCCCTACTTTGGCCGTGTGTGGCCATTTTGTGGTGGAACCCCACGTGGTGCAAGGGAACCGTTGCTGCGGGGTGTCCATGCCTTTTTTATAGACCGGGGTTGCTCCGAGGCTTCAGTCGATTAAAACACCAAGGTAGAAGCTTGGCTTGGTTTCCATATATCTACACTTAGGACCGGGTCTTGGAAGCCAGCCCCAACACAACCCCACCTGCGGATGGAACAGAATCCTGTACCAGTTTGCGATGGATGAAGCTGTGTGAAGACTGGCCAACTGCGAAACGGCTAGGGTCCACATGCCAAAAATGCAAGCGATTTAGGTTGGGGTAAGCCATCGTCGAACGGGTTCCGAATATTACCGTTGTGGGCATGAATCGGTGTCCTTAGGTTTCCTTAAGAGCCCCACGGCCACTTTAGCTCCAAGTTGGAAAAGGAAGAAGCGGTGCCCTAAATATTGCACGGAAACGAGCTACAAGCCCTGTAAATTCAACCATGGTTTCTGACGTTGGTTTGCCTGCAATATGGCGGACGGGGCATCCGGAGCCTTGCAGAAGTGAGAAGCGCCGATCCGGGAAAAGCGGAGGTCACGGTGCGAGGCTCCGTTGGCAAGACTTCACCCCGCTCTGTCGGGAGGAGTTGCCCCTCGGACCATCGGTACTCGTCGAAGGGGTTTGGGGGGAGGTTCCTTTTGGTGTCCCTTTTCAGCCATCCAAATTGGCGGGGGGGGTCCCTAATGATAGGCATGTCAAATTGGGGGGGAGCCGAGCCTCAAAGAAACTCACTCCTTATGGCTGCCGGAGGCAAACTTCAAACTCAGTTTGGTTGAGAGGCGGATTTCACTCTCTTGAGCTTCCAGTGGAATACATCTTGTCCCTAAGGACACCAAGAGTCCACTATCTGGGCGTATGGGGATGGCTTGTTCCGGGTTGTCGTTTTGGCTTCCCCGTAAACCAACCTTAAAAAGGGTACCCTCAAAAAACAATCTCACAGACACAGAAAAATACCCAAAAAAACAGACACACCCGTATAGCCCATATTTCATTGCCCCCAAAAGAAACCACAAGGGGATGGATGATTTTACATTTCCCAAACCTCCCTACGTACCACCCATTTTTGTATGGTGTGTAGAACTACAATGGTGAACCCAACAAAGGTTACCCGTTTTCTAAACGGGTCATGAGGCAACTGGGGGCGGGGAATGCTCGTACAAGCAGACGTCCAACTTACGAGGTTTCACTCAGGTGGGTCTTGCGAGGGAAACACAATGAGGGAAGCCTTCGCGCGTCCGGGGGGGCGTACCCTAACCGTATATAACATAACCGCATATAAATATAAATCCCAATACCTATACTCTCCAAAAGGCGAACATTTCAGCCTGAGACTCGAAAAGGCGCCTTTTGCCGTCCAGCGGCGGAACTCGAAGGGGAGCGGGTTGTGGTGGCGTTTTTCAATTTGTGACGGCGTTTTTGCGGTTGGTGGGCATTTTGCCTGACGTGGGCTGCTTTGCAAGATCTGCGCACTTCGGACCGCGACTATGCAACTTTGCCAGGTTTTGTGCTAGGTTTTGTGGGTTGGTAAAACTCGGTGCGACCTGTTAGAATGCCAGTTTGCTTTGCCGCCAAATGTGTTAACTTGCACCGGCGGAAACCTACGTCCCGACGGCGGAAACGCGCGTCCCGACGGCGGAAACGCGCATCCCAACGGCGGAAACGCGCGTTTTAACGGCGGAACTCGAGCCCAAGCGTCGCAAACGCTTTCTTGATGAAGTTCTTCAAGTAATGTTTGCTAAGGAGTGATCCGGAAGTCACAAATCGACCAAAGCCGCCTTGAAAGGGGGCGAAAGTCGTTTTTGTGTTGTGTCCAGCGCTTCATGTTGCTGCCTTGTGAGACTGCTTTGCGCCGAGGCCAGGGGCCAACGGCGTTTCTTGCAAACTGCCGGCGTTTCTTGAATTCAACGGCGCTTGTTTGTTGCTGCGGCAGAAGTTCCCGTCCAAAATCACAACGGCGTGTATTTTAGCCCGACGGAGTTTTCAGGTATGTGTACCGTATACATATGTATATATGTATATATGTATATATGTATGTATAAATGTACAATATGTGCTTGCTTTTGCCTATATATGGTGTATACTATATACATGTGCACGTATTTGGGGCTACGGTAGCCAGTGGCAAGAAGTGTTGGCTTGCATTCACAGGCTGTTAGCTCAGCGGTCATGAGACCTGTTCACAGGCAAGCCCCAAACAAATCTGTGAAATTGCGCTTTTGTGTTGGAACCCTAGCAGAGGACGGGAATGTGGAATCTCATATGCTAGTGATCTGTGTATTCACGTGGTTGACATTGGACATGAGCCACCACATGTGTTCTGCTTTCTTGTGCTGCTCACTTGGCCAAGTTGCCAAGGGGTATCAATTGGACTGCCAAATGAGCAGCTGCGCTGCATGAGCCTCTATATGCAAGGGAGCCCCCAGGAGCTGACACTACACCTTGGCATCAGGATTCCTTGCGAGTTCAACATCATTTCTCAATCCTTGGTCTGGATTATGGCGTTCCACGGATTTCGGATCAGGAATGTCGGGATCAGCATTCGAACAACAAGGATTGTTGCAACCCGTGGGAATTCCAGCAAGATGAGTCACGTTTTCTTGCCCAGGTCAAATCGGACGATACGCGAATCGAGGAGCCCCTATTTGAGTGCTCAAATCCTTACAACCATTTTGGTAGAACCAAACCAAATGTCATGGAACCATCTGCAGCAACATCTACAAGAAGTTTGGGCTAACGTCCTCTAGGATTCCTGCCGCTTGAGAAACCCAGCTGTGAAGCGGGCGCCTGCGCGCCTGTCATCCCGCAGGCTGAAAGCAGCCCCGCAGCTTGAGGCGCAGTATGCCGCAGAGACAGCAGAGCTTGTCAGAGTCCTCGCCCGCGCAGGACGGCGCTCGTTCGAAATGAACCCAACTGGACAAGTGGGTTTTACCCACCACTTCTCCAAGAAAAGGTGTGCCTCCTTTTTGCGTTTCTCCCGTGGGCTTTGAACTCTAATCACTCCCTCAAGTGGAGATCCATTCCAAACCCCCTCCCCCCGCTGGTTTGGTCCTGTCTTTTTTGAGTGTACCCTTATTGGGCTGGTCTTAAAGAAAACAGGGCAATCCGCCCCTTTTTCAGGGTCCCCTATTTCTTTATGGCCATGGCTATTTGGATCTTTGGGCTTTATTTGTTTGAAACAGGTCAGATTTTCCATGAGGGGTCAGCCGCCAAAAGTTTAAACACGCCACAAGGCCGGCGGTCAGAATCCACGGCGCCATCCGAATCAGCCCGCAGGCCACGCCGTGCCGCCGGAGCTTGTGCTGTCTTTGGCCGAGCTCTGCGAGTCGCGTCGCGCCCGCGCAGATGATTGGAAAGGCGGGGTCCGCAGTGGGGTGGGGGGTGCTGGTTGAGGGGGTGGGGGCTCATTTTGCAGGAAACCATCTGCTGAAAGGGCAAAGGTTTTTTGTGTTTTTTGTTTTTTGTTTTTTTGTTTAAAAAAAAAGGGCTCAGTTTGAAGGAAACACACTGCGAAACCATGGGGAAACCGCAACTATGTTGGATAAACTTTTGTTGAGGGATCCTGCTTTGCACTATATAAAAGAAAGCAACCCGTTTTGAGGCTTCCCTGATGTAGAGACACGCCCATGTAATTTGGGGATCCTTTGGTGAACATGATTTAGCGATGAGTCCAAACTTTGGGACCCTCTCAAACGGTTTTCCCGTGTATATCCCAACAAGCATTCCCAGTTTTGACATAGCCGAATGGCATGTTCAGACGAAGTTTGTCATATAATGTGTATATGCAACCTTGATGGGGGTTGGGGCGATCTCACTACGATTCCTAGTGGCTAGGATTGGCTAGGGCATTTGAGTTCTTTCCTTTTCCTGTTCAGGCACCTTGGGTCATTTCCGACAAACCGTCTCAGGCCGGCGCAGCTGCGTGACTGCGGAGGCTCCCACAGGATGCAGCTGCAGGACGGATTGAGACATATGCTTGGCTTCGGTTTTCCTTTTGTGTTCCTTGCAAAACCAAGGTGAGAAGAGTACCAAACACTGAGAAAGAGAGACAGACAGAGAGAAAGAGGGATGTCACTGGTTTCAGTTTGGCTCTAGTGACGTGATGTGCCAGTTCCATCTATTCAAAAGAAAAACGACACCTAGCGCCCAGGATCAAGCATATCCTCGTGGCTTGCCCTTGCGATGTCGATGTGGAAACAGACCAAAGCCTCAGATTCCAAGCTGTTCCTCTTTGATAGCCATTTCCGAATCAGAAGCCTGGTTCACCCCTTTTACTCCGCTAATGCATAAATTTGACGTGAGGTTTATGCGGATGCCATTGAGAAGGGCTTTTTCAACTCTCACGCAAGACCCCTGGCCCACCAAATCCGCGCTGACGGTGTGTGGCTGCGTGGGGCCGCGTCGGTGGTGGCCGGAGGCATTGGGATTGGAAAGCAACCAGCATGGACCAATCCTGTGATTAGGGGCGGATACACGACCGTAGGAATTTCCAAAGGGGCCACTGCTCACATCGCCGCGTCTTGGTCAGACAAACTCATAGTTGCCCCAACCCCTAGCCCGGGAAACCCTGGCGTGGGGTTGTTTGAGGGCACCCTTTTGCAGCCTTATGGTTTTAACGGGGATCCAAGAGGAGTTTTCAGCATTTCGGGGGGGGGGGGAAGGGTGGGTTCCAAGAAGGGAGACACCCATTTGGACCATTAGTCAAGGTTTCTCAAAAGGTGATCACCTTTTATTTCCAAGTCTTTTTGGGTTAGTGAGTCTATGTGCAAGTGAGTCAAGCAGACACCCACAGGGGACATGCGCTAGGAACCAGCCAGCGCCCTGCTTCCCACGCACCGCGCCCTGCGCGGTGAGTTTCAGCGGGGCTCAGCGCCGGGCCGTGGTGGCGGCCTTCGACTTGCAGATCCCACTGGAGCAGCCGTATAGGACGAAGTATCGGGCTGCGGCTTTTCATACACGGGCGGCTCGTCTTTCTTGTTGAGTTGTTTTTTTGTTGTTGGGGGGGGAAGGTTAAAGGGAAATAAAAAGGACGGCCAGCATGTTGGCGGGGTCCAAATCCCAAAAAGAGACAGCCACATGGCGTCATGGGGTAGCAAGGCCCGGGAAAATGATCGTTCAAACAAGGTGTCAGTTGTTTGGGAGGGTTCCCTTTTCAGATTGCTCTGAAGGGATACGACCCGCAGGCGTTACTGGGCTAGACGACTACATAGTCACCACAGAAAGAGTACACACCCGTGTTCCCCTGGAAAGAGGATTCCGAAACCGAAAACACAGCGCTGCAAACGTGGTTACACTTTACTGGCTATGAAGTGTTGATGCTGTGGATGGACAAAATCCTGCACCAACTTGAATGATTCCCCCTGTAAAAGCCAACAAAACGATGGCTCCCCATTTGTTCAAAGTCGTGCAGGATTTCGTCCGTCAACAGTATGACCCCGTCGTCCCTTGGGGGTAGTGGTCTCGGGGTAGTGGCAACCATCCCAGAGGTTGGACAAAGTTTGCTCGAACAAACTTCTGGGCACACACACACACACATGCAAGGGTCAACATGCACATTTGTGTGTGAAAGGGACACACGCTGTTCCCAGGTCGGTGCGGGAATTCCCAAACAGTTGTTTGCAGGGGGGATACAATTGGGCAGCCACCCCCCTCCAAAGTTGAGTAGGTAACTTGACTTGTTTCAATTGAGGTCCATTAAACATGTTTACCTACTTCACTGGCAATTGGCGGTTCAATGCCAATCCACATGGTGATTCTTTGGGGCTACCGAAGGATTCTTGGCCCTGTGCAGTGGGTCTTTTGTCGGGAAACGGTTTATGTGGGCGGCCTTAGCCATCTCTGCGTTGTAGGGCAGATGTCGTTCAAACAATAATGGCTCGGACATGTTCAATCAAGGAGTGTTGGTCTCTCACAATTCATCACAAATCTGTCTGTGCGCTTTACTGGTAGGGATGTGTTAGCTGGGAGGAGAATCTCTAAGTGGGGGGGTTTGGCTGGAAATTTTGGAAGGACTTGGGGCCTCCACGCGGCACCTTTGGACTTCTTGCTCAACTTCGATCTGCGTCGCACCACGGGGCCTCGCCCGGATCGCGCGCCTTGGATCTGCAGCGGTTTGGTTTCAGAGTTGGACCCAGCTCAAAGTGGGTGGACATGAATCTCCACTGATCGCTTGATGTCCGCCAGAGGGTCCGTAATTAAGATTCATGCCCATGCCGGGCGACTGCGACCGTGGAAAGATGGACATATATGGTTTGCTTTCGGCCCCAGTTTATCAAAGGAAGTTTAGAAGGAACTTCCGTGTTACGGCAACTAATTGAAAGCTAGCTCTCTCTGAGACAGATGAAGAGAAGGAACAAGCACGCGAGAAAATATGCGCGCACGCGTGTGGTGGGAGTAAGGAATCTGCAAAAAGCGTGGCCCCGTGCGTGAATTGGTGTCTCCGGAGAGCCGAAAGCTAGCCTGTTCGCGGCGCCTGGTCGGACCACTCTCGGAGCGCGTTCGGAGCGCGTTCGGAGCGCGGGCCCATTGGCACGGCAACGCGAAGGTTTCGCCAGGTTTGAATTGCATGGCAGGCGCAGCACTTTCGCAAGGTCAGGTTCAGATTTTGTGGCAGGCGCAGCACTTTTGCAAGGTCAAGTTTTCCCAAGGTTTGAAGCGTGGCAGGCGCAGCACTTTCGAAAGGTCAGGTACAGATTTCGTGGCAGGCGCAGCACTTTCGCAAGGTCAAGTGCAGATTTCGTGGCAGGCGCATCACTTTCGCAAGGTCAAGTAAAGATTTCGTGGCAGGCGCAGCACTTTCGCAAGGTCAAGTACAGATTTCGTGGCAGGCGCATCACTTTCGCAAGGTCAAGTAAAGATTTCGTGGCAGGCGCAGCACTTTCGCAAGGTCAAGTACAGATTTCGTGGCAGGCGCAGCACTTTCGCAAGGTCAAGTAAAGATTTCGTGGCAGGCGCAGCACTTTCGCAAGGTCAAGCACAATTTCGTGGCAGGCGCTCATGTGCAGATTTCGTGGCAGGCGCAGCGCTTTCGCAAGGTCAAGTAAAGATTTCGTGGCAGGCGCAGCACTTTCGCAAGGTCAAGCACAGATTTCGTGGCAGGCGCTCATGTGCAGATTTCGTGGCAGGCGCAGCGCTTTCGCAAGGTCAAGTACAGATTTCGTGGCAGGCGCAGCACTTTCGCAAGGTCAAGTAAAGATTTCGTGGCAGGCGCAGCACTTTCGCAAGGTCAAGCACAGATTTCGTGGCAGTCGCACCACTTTCACAAGGTCATGTGCAGATTTCGTGGCAGGTGCAGCACTTTCGCAAGGTCAAGTGCAGATTTCGTGGCATGCGCATCACTTTCGCAAGGTCAAGTGCAGAATTCGTGGCAGGTGCAGCACTTTCGCAAGGTCAAGTGCAAAGTTCATGGCAGGCGCATCACTTTCGCAAGGTCAAGTACAGATTTCGTGGCAGGCGCAGCACTTTCGCAAGGTCAAGTGCAGATTTCATGGCAGGCGCAGCACTTTTGCAAGGTCAACTTTCGCAGCCGGGGCTCGAACATCGCAACTTTTAAGTACGAAAGTAGTACGCGAAGTCAACTTTCGCAGCTGGGGCTTGAAAATCGCAACTTTTAAGTACGAAAGTAGTACGCGAAGTCCACTTTCGCAGCCAGGGCTTGAAAATCGCAACTTTTAAGTACGAAAGTAGTACGCGAAGTCCACTTTCGCAGCTGGGGCTCGAAAATCGCAACTTTTAAGTACGAAAGTAGTACGTGAAGTCCACTTTCGCAGCTGGAGCTTGAAAATCGCAACTTTTAGATGCAGATATAGATGGATAGATAGATAGATCGATAGACAGACAGAGGGATACATAGAGATCTATAGAGATACATAGATAGAGATAGATAGATAGAGAGATAGACAGATAGATAGATAGATAGATAGATAGATAGATAGATAGATAGATAGATAGACGCGCGGGAGATAGATGGAGAGATAGATAGATAGATAGATAGATAGACACGCGGGAGATAGATGGAGAGATAGATGGATAGATAGATAGATAGATAGAAAGAGATAGAGAAAGAGATAGAGAGATAAACAGATAGAAAGAAAGAGATAGAGAGATAGAAAGATAGAAAGAGAGATAGAGAGAGAGAGAGATGGAGAGATAAATAGTTAGATAGATAAACCAACAGAAGATAGATAGACAGCTAGATAGATAGATAGATAGAGAGATACATGGATAAATAGATAGAAAGAGAGATAGAGATATAGATAGATAGATAGGTAGGTGGATACAGAAATAAATTAGATAGATAGATAGATAGATAGATACATAAATAGATAGAGAGATAGATAGATAGATAGAGATACAAAGATAGACAGATAGAGAGAGAGAGAGAGATAGGTAGATAGATAGATAGATTAAACAAGAGATAGATAGATGGAAAGATAGAAAGATAGATAGATAGATAGATAAATAGATACATAGACAGAGAAGAGACAAAAGAAAGAACAGCACAAAAGCAAGCAAACGAAAGAAAGAAAGAAAAGACAGATAGAAAGAAGGAAAGAAGGGAGGAAGGAAGGAAAGAAAGGAAGAAAGGAAGAATGACGGAAAAAAAAGAAACAATGAAAAGGCAGAAGAAGAGAGAAGAGTCAAGAAAAGAAAGAGAAAGAGAACTATAGCTTTTATATTTTTTAAACTTCCGCCCACCGGGGCTTCGCCGGCTCTACTGGTATGATGTATATATAAATATATATATATATATACATAAAATCAACCAATGGTTCAATGATTTTAATGGCACCATGATCGCTCGCTCAGAGCCAATCGTTTGTGTATCCAAGGCAACGCGCGCATGAATTAAAAAGCCCGCTAACGACATTAAATCCCATGATATTGAACTTGTGTATTGGATCTGGGCATGGGGCCAAGGCTCTTTGGCTGGCCGGTGTTTATGTTCTGCAACACGCCCCGGCATTGGGCTGTCAACTAGCCCCCTGCTCCCAATCTGCGCGAGGTCTTGCACAAGGACTTGCTTTCAATGAAGTCAGAGTCAGAATCTTCCACCTGCCAGCATGTTCCACGCAACCTGCAACGCCACACTCGCACTGATCGGAGAAATCGTTAATCAAAGAATGCAAAGTTGTGAAACAAACAATTGTGTGACGAAGGGCGCAGCGCTGCTCCACCAAATCAACAATGGTTGCGTTGTAGAACTGCAATAGGTGGTATGGTCGCAAAGTAGCAACAATCGCCTGGTGCGCAAGTGAAACATGTAAAACGCCACCGGGGGCGGCGGCGGCGAGAGCGTTAGTTACGCCGCCCGCGCGCATTTCCGCCTCAACGGCGGAGATGCGCAACGGGTGGACCTTGTCAGCCAAAGCTCACGAAGCTAGGAAGGGAGGTAGCGCGTTCGCACCTTCTGTGCATTGGTTTTGTGGACACAGCACAAAAGGCAGATCCTCACTGCAGTCGCCAGGTCTCCTCTGCAAACTCCTAAGTACTGGGTTTGCTATGGTTACATTACTCCAAAATATCAACGAGGATCGTGGGTTTGGCAGAGCACAGCTAAACGGTCGACCGCAAAGAAAGCACACCTAACAGCAAAACCACGGTCAAACAGAACAAACCGAAGAAGGGGAGGTCACACCAAGCAAAGCTGAATCAATGTGATTTGGCTCCTGTAAATATTCCGACTCTGTCAGAGCCAAGGCCCACAGGTTTCGACATTAACCAGCCGACAAGGATTCGATTGGCTTCGGAAGCGGAAGCCTCTCCGCTTTACTCTGTCAAAGGCCGGTGAGATGCAAGGTAGCTCCGAAAAGAGGATTGCCGTGGCTTGAAGCTGACCTGGAGCACGAAGAAGTAGGTTTGTTTGCCGCGCACGAAATGTTGCCTGAGCAACACGTTCTCCCGCACCACGCTTGAGGAGAACCTTCGCGGGGTGTAATAGCGGTTCGCGTGGTTTTAAAACGAAAAATCTGCTGTAGAACATCAACACCTATTGTGTAAATCACCAGAGACGTTATTTTGTAAGACCCGGCGGAACCCGTTAACGACAAGGTCTGCAGTCACTCCCCCGGTTAACGACTCTTTGGCATTACGGGTCTCCGAAAGATGGCCAAGGGTGAACCACGTGTCTGGGGTCTGCAAAATTCCTTAATTTATAAAGGGTAGACTAAATTGCAAGCATTTGAGCCAGCACCCCCCAATCAGCTGGGAAATGGCGGCAAAACGGCCATTACAGGGTCACTTAAGCGACCATTTGCCAGCCTTTGGAGGGGGGGGATGGTCTGAAACAATTAGTATTTGTGGCCGGGCTGAGCCTGAGGTGTTGCTCCTGCCGCCGGAAAAATTGGCGAAGCACCCCCTGCGTGAACGCACACGAAAGAGGCGAAGCCCGAGTTTTGAGAGCCAAAGCAGAGCTTAGGGCAAATGGGAGGCAACAAGTGACATGTGTTTGTGTTTGGGGCTTGTTTTTGCAAGAACAAAAAGGATCTCATTTGATTCGATGTTGTTTGTGCAGATTGTTGCGAGGTCGAAAGGACCGACCAGGGGCACACGGTGCAGTCAAGGTACGATTGCTTTCCCCTTGCCCAAAAGGGGGGTTGGTGTTAGCATTGGACTCCTAAACCTGAATCCATTTTAAACTAGCAATGGAACATGACCCACAGAAGGCCTTTTGACTTAGTCATCAGGCACTCCTCAAATGGCCAATTGTCGCACATACGTGTTGCAGAAACGAGTTCACATGCCGCTTCTCTCAAATGTGTTTGTGGTTCTGCTCGCCCTTCGTGACCTGCATTGCACATGTTTTTTTTCCTGGTTTTGTGTCGGAGCTTGTCAGCGTGGGGCATTAATTCGCGGGTGGAACGCAGCAAGTCCAAATCGGTGCCTCAAAATTGCTAACCCCGAACTTGGACGATATTGAAAGGGACATTCAACCTTGTTTTTTGGGGTATCCGTGTTTCTCAGTTCGTTTCTGAGCTTTACCCATTTGGCAAGCAGAACGTTTGAGCCTCCCAGTAACCACAGTTATTCAAGATCACTTTAGTGTGACACAAGTTTGGGTGTGAATCGGGTTTTAGCTTGCCACTTTCTGTGAGTGGCCAAGGGCATCCCCGGCTAGAGTGACAGAGGATGGGCTCCTTTGGAGCTTTCGTTTTGGTGCATCTGTTTTTGCGGGTGCCATTTTTTGGGTTGGCTTAAAGGGAAACCGAAAGGAAACTGTCGCCCTTGTCAGGCTGCAGCGGGCACAGATTCGGGTCATTGAGGTGCCCTGGATTGAGCCCCCAGTCACTTGGCCGAGACGGGATGATCGTATTGGTGTCAGGGATCACTGAGATATCCCCTTCAAAAGTTGCAATTTACTGGTATTTCACTTGAAGCTGCCACTTTTGGAGGTTCTGAAAAGGGAAATTGCGGAACCCTGGCTGTTCTTTACAATGGTGGACCTGCTTTTGGTTTCACTTGACATCCCCCTTTCTTAGCGTTACAACGCAGATTGGTTTGTGGTCGTGGCCGCGTTGCCTGCCAAAGGTACCTGGGTTGCTGTAGGGGAAGCTTCCCCAAGACCGCCACCCAACGTTGCATGTTCCGATGTCAAAACATCTAAGTGTCCCCTTCAGTGGTTGGGTGGGAATGGCCACAGAAATCCCTCCGGCTTCGCCTGCCAGCTTATCTATGTAGCACCCAGTCCTTGTCCTTGCATCGACCCCCCGCTTCTGGTCCAGAGGTAGGGCGTTGAGGCAGCATGCATTTCTAGATTGGTGGACGAGCAGAGCGCAGCCCTGAGGCAAAAAAGCAGTTGTTCAGCGGCTCCCTCTCAAGGACGTCTTTGGGTTTTCCACTAGAAATGATCCCCTAAAACATTCTTCAACACCTTCAAAACGTGCATCGCAGTCTCGTGGAAAGCTGATCTCCCAGGATATATCAGCATCTGTGGCTCGGCGGAACCGCGAGAACCACTTCGGCAACAGGGAGTATATTCGCTTCTCGCGTGCATGTTGGCCCATATGTTGCAGAGGCAGACATGGGGGGAGACAGAGAGAGAGAGAGAGAGAGAGAGAAGAAAAAGAGGAAAAAGAAGAGAGTGACGCAAAGGGATACACAAAAACGAGAAATGTCAGAGTACATGCGGCGTTGTGCTACATAGCTCTTACATGACCGCAGGCCTTGAGCTCTTTACTACATTGCGAGCCCATGAGAAACAGGAGTTGTGCAGACTACAGGTTTGTTTGCGTTATCAACATTACAACGCTTGCACTTGTGCAAACAGCAGTCTGAATTTAACATGGTAGCGGAGCTGAATCCTAAACATAGGGGAGCTCCAGTATCCAGCAGTAAGTACTACAACAACTGCAGCAGCAATCACGCGCCAAACTACTACGACATGTCAGGAGAAGCAGCACCAGCTTCAGCACAGCAACCTACAGGAACAGAGAATAGGCCAACAGCAGGAACAGTAGGAGCCACAACTACGGGAGCAGGAACAGGACAAGACAACGACGTTCAGAGACTACACAAATACAAACTGCCACCACCTTTCTTCACTGGTGACTACTGCCAGTATGAAGAATTGCTGTTCAAGCTACAAGCATATCTCGGACTCATAGACCGAGACTTCGACTTGGTGCTACAACTGGCACAAGTAGCTACACGACAAGTTGAGGATGCTGACATCAGAGCACACATACGCGACCCTACACGAGCAAGCAAAGCAGTAGACCTCGCCAGAGATCTACACTACATCCTCATCAACATATGTCAGGGAGCAGCAGCTACAGTAGCAAGGCAAACCGCTACAACGCAAATGGATGTGAAACACTGCGGCTCTTACACAACAAATTCAACCTACCAGTAGGAACACGCAGCGTTGGCTACCTTACTAAACTACTGGAAGCTACATTCAACGAAGCACAGTTTGAAGAGCAATTCCTACAATGGGAATACGACATCAACCGCTACGAGAAAGACAACGGCACAGCACTACCAGATGGAGTAAAGATTGCAACACTACTCAACACCCAAAGGAGCACTGCAACAACATCGCCAACTGCGAGCTGGACAGATCACGAACTACAGCGAGATCAGAGCAGTCATCCTGGACTACTACAAGATGTCCTCTGCCTTCTCAAGAGCGACTTCAGCTGTAGGCACAAACTAGAATGGAGGACCTGCACCAATGGGCGTTGACAACATTTCGAGGAAAGGAAGAAACTACAAAGGCAAAGGAAAAGGCAAAGGCCACTACAAAGGAAGCAAAGGCAAAGGCAAATGCAGGAGCAAAGGACACTACAAGGGGTTTGACAAAGGCAACAAAGGAAGCTACAACAAAGGAGGATACAACAAGAGCAAAGGAAGAGGCTACTCAGGATCCAAACGCTATGGATCAAGCAAAGGCTACAAAGGCCAAGGAAACTACAGCAAAGCAAAAGCAAGGGAAGCAAAAACTGCATGACATGCCACCGATGTGGCAAGCCCGGCCATTGGGCCTAGGACTGCAGAGTGCCTGTCTGGCACATAAGAGAAGGAGAAGAACTACATCCACCAGACCAAGAACAAACAGATCAGGACAACAATGAAGAACTACCTCAGGATCTGAACAACACTTGGGACTGGTACTACGAAGGAGAAGCAGGGCATGGGCACGAGGTGAACTACATGGGAGAGTTGGAACAACTACGACTATGACAACAGCTGGGATGAATGACAACAGCTATGAAGACACTGCAAACTACATTGGAGGCATCAACGAGTCACACCTCACCATTGGACACATCAGACAAGCAAAGTCACTACCACACAAGCACAAATCCAAATCACCACTTGGAAAGCACGCAACACACATACAACATCATGGAACGACCACAGCAAAAGCTTTCAACAATTCTTGCAAGAGGACAGAGCACAACTGCACTTCGACATAGCAGCAGCAACACAACAGCAAAGAAACAATAAGATTGAGGACCCCATCACACACTACATCATGTACTCCAACTTCAAGTCATACCACCACCTGCTGATCGACTCAGGAGCATCTACACGTGTTTGCCCAAAGGACTACGCGCCAAATCTACCACCACGACCTTGTGGAGAATCTGTTCCACAACTCTACACGGTTACCCCTGTCTACGGCATCAAGTATGTTCCCTACATCATGATACCCTACTACGTTTGTGGTGTGAAGTATCCTATCCTCAGTGCATCAAGACTACTTGATAGAGGATATGGACTCGATTTCAATCCACGACACTGCACCATCACTCATGGACAACAACAAGCGCACCACTCAGGACTCTTCTACCTACGAGCAGAAAAGATCAACATCCCTACAGGATTCGACATCTACCCAATGACTACAGACAATGGAACAGCCATTCCTGTGATCCAACCTACAGAGGAAGCAAAACAACAACAAGAACAAATTGCACCACTCACACACACAGACCAAGGACTGCGACCGCTCCTTGGTGGAAACACTGACGACTGGAAACTTGATGGTGACTACGCCATCAGAGTTCACAAACAACCACGCAAAGCACTTTTCACACCACACAACAGCGGCTGCCCAATACTAGAAGAAGAACTAGACGATTGGCGACTAACCATCATCAACAGACAAGGGCAAGAGCAAGAACAACTACAAGAGAACCCCCAGCAACTTTCCAAGCAAGAACTACAAAGAAGACTAGAAGGTGACAACTGGACTGGAGAAACCAGATGCAGAAGAAAGATAACACCTACACGCCGAGCAACATCAAAGACCACACCAACAAGACAGAGCTCACAACCACAACAACTAATGGAGACTCCACCAACAAAACCAAAGATTCAACTACGAGCTCCAAAAAAGATATGGGGACGCAACGCAGCACCTTCTACAGACCTTGACAGCACACAACCAAAGGCGACCATACACAGACCACTCACAGCACAGAACTACACTGTTCACGCCAACAGATGGACCCGGACATCCACCAATCAACACACTCGAACCTGACAGAACTACAGTCACCAACAAAAACTTTGGAGAAGTTTCACAACGCAAAGATGACTGGACAGTCGTGGGCAACGCAGCACTACCATCTCAATGGAAAGGAACAACAAGGTTCAATATAAAGAAAGACTACGAGTACATCCATGAGAACCACGACGAGGAACAACAACAGGAACATCATGAAGCACACAGAGCAAGAGGACTACGACAACCACAGCAACCAACTCCACAAAAAATCGCAGAACAGAACTTGACACACCTACCATACAAAAAATGGTGTCCAATTTGCGTGTAAGGCAAGGGATGCCAAGACAACTACAAGATACAACAATCACGACAACCCGTCATTCAAGTAGATTTTGCCCACATCAAATCACAACAAGACCCAAAGACCATACCAGTCTTAACAGCAGCTGATGTTACTACACAACTGTGTATGGCGGTAATGGTTCCGGACAAACCATCAATGATGGACTACATGGTCAACAACCTACAAGCATTCATCTTTGAGTGCGGAAGGAACACACGGCATACTACAGAGCGACAACGAAGACACACTCAACGCACTCCTAAAAGCTACAGCAGCCAAAGTTGGCTCAATGACTCTTCGACACGCACCTCCCTATAGCAGCAACAGTCAAGGAAGCGTTGAGCGACTACATCGAACACTTCTCGCGTGTCACAGCGCAGGTGAACTACAGCAAGACGATGTCCACGAAGCACTGTCTACTACCTTGGATAGTACGACATGCAGCATGGACGCTAAATCGCTACGTCGTCCACGCCAACGGCTACACAAGCTTCGAACGCCGCCGGAGAAGAAACTACGAGCGATCCTAAAGCATGGCAGGACTACCTGACTGAAGTGCTACAAAAGCCCAGCTTTGCAAGACTAAAGACAGAGCCCAACGTCTACACCAATGCAACTCGTGACTGCTACATCATGGTCTACGTGGACGATCTGTTGGTGCTTGTCCATCTTCGCAGGTACTACTCAAGCACATTGGCTACCTCGAGCCTGGTAAACCACAACAAGTCCTGGGAAGAAACATCGAGCCCTCGGCAACTACTGCACTCTTGGACTTCAGGACTCCTACATCGACAATATGGTCAAGGAGACTGGAATGACCGACTGCAACACAGTGACCGCTCCAGGAATCAAAGCGCTACTCGACCACGAACAACACGAAAGAATTGTTGGTAAACTTCAATGGTTCGCACACAAAAGACCAGACATTGCCTACGCGACAAAAGAACTAGCACGAGACCTCACAGCACCTGCAGAACTTTCTCAAGAGAGAGTCAAGCACCTACTACACTACTTGCACGGCACCAAACACTACAAACTCACCATATAACCAACAACAGCACTAAGAGCAAACACCAACAACATCCTGGATCTCGACGGTCATGTCGATGCTGACTGGGCAGGATGCCCTACTACCAGGAAACCAACTTCAGGTGTCGGTTGCATTTGGCAGCAGAACATAGGCTACAATAGCACTCAGTTCACAACAACCTGGACTACTTCGTGACTACATTAGTCACTCCATTTCAATCCAAAGCCACTACACCCTTCGCTTGTCCCACTACCAGGGAGCCTCCTTGATCAACTACAACTTCAACTACACCCCAACGACATGCACAGTGCGACGTGCTGTCCACTGCATTTGGAGCAAGACTACAGAATACTATGGCCACTACTTGTTGACCACGCACAACTTCTACGCACTCTCCGGGAACAACGCATCACGATGCCAGTTTTCCCGGTAAAGGACTACAACAGGACACGTGGATCAGGGAAGAATACCTGAACCACATGCGGGAGCCTGCAAGGGTCCAAGCACTACTGCACCTACGCCAGACTCAAAGAGACTACTGGGGAACCACCCATAGGCCCACATGAGGCGCCACAACAACAACAGGCACCTCCTCACGAATTCCAATCAGCCCGACTACATCCGGGACCGAATCCTGAACAGCGAGAGCTC